AACACTTACCGGAAAAGTATTAAAACAACTAGCGGCCCGCTCCGGCTTCGCTCGGGTCTTTAACAAAATTTTCAACGATATTTGATGTTGTTTTATTTTAAAAAATAAAAGAACACTTATTGCGCCATAAGTCGTAGTACATTAATTTATTCTATCATCAATAGTTTTCGCAGGGCGTGCGATGTATAGAATATTTTAAGTAATTTTTTTACACCTTGGGTTACATTATTGGAGTTTTAGTAAGGATTCCTAATTTTTTTCAAAAAAGATTATAACCTATGTCACTCGGGAATAGTGTAGCTTTCAAACAGTGAAAGAATTTTTCAAATCGGTTCAGTAGTTTCGGAGCCTATTCAATACAAACAAACAAACAAATCTTTCCTCTTTATAATATTAGTATAGAAGTATAGATAGATTCGTTATCATATTGTATTTTGAAGAAGAAATTGTATATGATATGGAAGTATGGCAGGAAAAAACATGTTGCGCCGACTTCAGGTCTGGGAGAAGGACAGTAGAACCATGATGATGTTATTATATTTTTTATTTATTTATTTAATCTTAGATGATACTCACAATGTTAAAAAATTCACTATGCTCTAATTAAATAATTCTTTGAAAGTTTTTCAATCAACAATATTGCGATCGTTAATATATCACTGGTTAATCATATTACATCGTCGTATCTTATTTTAGTTGGACATAGTGTACTGTTGTGAACGCTCAAATTTCATCCATTCATGATTGATTTATTCAAAATTTTAGAAATGATTCCTGTAAATTTCTATTTGTTACTAGCTGACCCGGCAGAATTAGTAGTGCCTCAATCGATAAATAAAAGACCTAAACTTTTGTATAAAATAAACTTAAAACAAACAAAAGGAATTCGTCCGACGGGGGACACATCAAAGGAAAAACAAAATAGTTTGTTTTTTATATAATTCAGGGCATTTTCATATTTATGCACCCCTTAAACCTTCTTTGGACTTCCACGAATAATTCAAGACCAAAATTAGCCAAATCAGTCCAGCCGTTCTCGAGTTTTAGCGAGACTAACGAACGGCAATTCATTTTTATATATATAGATATATAGCTCTGTGATCGTCAATTATACATCAACTATGACTACGTGCTTCGAATTTGTTTCCTAAGCCGCTTGGCCATTTGCCGGTTATTAATTAATATTCCAGACTTATTAATCGGTATAGAACTACTTTGCCACTGCTTCTATCGCTTGAAGGTCCTGTACCGCATCCGCAATTATCTCAGTGAAAAACTTCGGATTCAACTCGTTGAGACACTGATTCTCTCGAAACTGAATTATGCGGACGTGGTATACGGACCAAGATTACTTAATTCAACTGGGCGCATATTACAGAGAGTACAGAATGCATGCATGAGATTTTGCTTTAGCATCCCACCACGATCCCATGTTACGTCGATAATTAATCAAAGCAAAATGTTGAATTTAAAGTTGAGAAGGAAGTTGCATTTTGCTTGTTTATTATTTGGAGTCGTAAAATTGCAAACGCCGAATTATTTATATCTTAAGTTGACTTATTTAGGAGATGGCGGTAGGCAATCGCGACAACGCTCCCAAGTGTTTGCGACTCCTCGACACTGCTCTGCTGCTTTTAGAGGCAGCTTCCGCTACTTGGCCTCTAAATGCTGGAACAATATTCCTCCACCTATCCGGCACCAGAGAACGCTAAGGTCCTTTAAAACAAATTTAAAAGTATATCTTTTGAATATACAAGAAAAATTCGAAAATATCAAATATAATTACTCCGTACTATAATTAATTGTGCTTTGCAACTGCAATTTTTATTTAATTAACTTAATAATGTCATTTTGTTGTCCTTTTCATAACTGTTTTTTTTTTATATAATTTATTATTCATGTTCTTTTTATTTTTTAATATATTTTACAATGATGTGTATTGGTCGGTCTGATGGTGGTGTGCGCGTCACTCCGCAGGTGCCGGCGGAAGATCAGCGCCGCAGTACCGATTGTCTCGATACTGTTAGGCATTGCTGAGCCGGTAATCATTTCCAAGCCTCGTTATTTTTGTTATCTTTTTATTTATTTTTTGTACTTAATTTGTGTTTGGAATAAATGTTTATTATTATTATTATTATTATAAGTTAAGTCATTGTTTTTTTATCGTCATTTTATAGGGACCATAATGCAGCCCATCGGCATTATTGATGTCCATGGATCAGTAATGCCAGCGGCATGGCTGATTGTTGTCTACGATGGTAAATAATTAATAGAGCCCGTAAATATCAAAAAAGAGAGAGAGGAAAATTGAGAAGACATTGTTTCCCAAAAATTTCACAGCAGGATTAAACAGAACGTTAATATATCTACCTTGAGTTCACACCTGCTTTCTCTAAAATCGGGGGAAATTAGAAATTACATAAGATGAAGACGGTAATTTAGAAAAATATGCTGATACAATGCTTTGTTTTAATGGAATGTATTAGAGGTCGTTAGAGGCAGCCAAAGTTTTGTAACTGACCCTCCAGATAGACTATTACTATTTAGAGCCTAAGCGATATATTTGTATTTTTTATCTTAAATAAGCCAAAACATTTACTACTGTAACTCTGCCATAAATATACCATAAAAATATCGATAAATTTAACATTCGTTTTCTGTAAATAAAATTGAGAGCGAAAAACTACACCATTACCCATTACGGCTTCGTAACAATATTATTTCAATGCGTTTAGCCTCAAATATTGAGCTATTTCTCGTAGTGAATTTTTTTTGTTCTATGCCCATAAAAATGATTGATTATATCGACGTCCGACCTTCGGGGAACATTACTTCTTTTATTTTCCTTTCAGAAATAGTACGAATACTTCACTTCTGTGTGGTGTTTTGTTTTGTTATGAAAACGCCATTGTTTGATGTCAATTATTGCGATAGAGTTTTGAAATCGTATTATGTTTAATGTGAAATAATCTTTATTAAAACTACGACATATGATGGTGATTCTCAGATTTGTACCTAAAAACAAATCAGGATGACTTACTGGTGGTAGGACCTCTTGTGAGTCCGCGCGGGTAGGTACCACCGCCCTGCCTATTTCTGCCGTGAAGCAGTAATGCGTTTCGGTTTGAAGCGTGGATCAGCCGTTGTAACTATGTTGAGATCTTAGAACTTATATCTCAAGGTGGGTGGCGCATTTACGTTGTAGATGCCCATGGGCTCCAGTAACCACTTAACACCAGGTGGGCTGTAAGCTCGTCCATCCACCTAAGCAATAAAAAAAAGTGCTTTGTAAATTTTCTAAATGTTAAATAGAGTTTCAATTTGTGCTTCTGTGGAAGTTTTATTTATCCCGAACCTCAGTGCGTAACAGTATTGTATAGCAATATATAGCACCAACAGTTGCTGGGGTAGATGGGTGGGTAGTTTGCTGCTTATTTCGTCCGTGAAAATTCGTACGCTCCGATTCGAAGGACGCCACAACCGGTGCACGACAAGTCAGAGATCGACCTCATGTCTCAAGGTAGGTGATACCAATAACTTTGTGATGTATTTGATCTCTGAAAACCACATAATAACTAGATGGGCTGTAAATTCATCGCATTAAGACCTATGGAAGTAATATTTGAAAGCACTGATATTAGTGTAATGGGTATTTAATATTTTTCCCTCGAATCATCAAAAAACATTGTGTATTCGATATAACGCACTGCTGCGTTACTGCACACGGCAACGGAATATTATTGTTTAATTGAACTTAACGATTTTGGGAAATTTGTAATGGTAAAATATCCGTCGTTGAAATATGCCTTCGGTTTTCTGATAATATCGTTGGAAATAATCACTCCACATCAATATTCAATATCGTATAATATTTTGTTCATGATATTTCAGATTCTCATTTTGTAGTCTATTATGTTTGACTCTTTGATAATCCTTTGCTTTCTTAACAAATTTAAAAATGACTGTTTACTTATTTAACATCACGACAAAACGAGTGGGGCTTACATATGGCTTTTGAATTTGGTTAAAGACCAGAAATCTTTTCTACTTTTAATCGTCCAATATAAGCTACTAAATCGTAAAAATATTTTTAAAGCCGTGCACCATTACACACACCACGCATCGGCATATCTGTGTGACCCAATCTCGGTTATTACTGAAATATCCACAACCAGCGGGAATTATTTTTATTGTCTTCGTGGGGCCGGTTTTCGACTATCACTTTGCGTGAGTTGGGTGAGTTTAGACGAGAACAGCCTAACATAAAGAATATTTATTTTAACGTGGGTCAAACGATCTCGTTGATAACAATCTGTTCTGAAGACAAGGATCTGCGACATCGAGACACAAGTCACTGCTATCAGTGTTTTATCATCTGGCCGTATCCTGTTTCAATTTTCATTTTTTTTTTTACCTAATTTCATTCCAATGGCAATGAAAAAAATGTAGTTCATATTTGGAGATTATGTGATATAGTATGTGCAGACGGTATTGAGGATATTATGGCTATAGACTTTAGAAATATATTTACACCAGGCCTTCGACTTTGGCGTGTTGACCAAAAAAGCACCACACTATCAGAATCTGTAATGGGTGTCCTGAAAGGTGTTTAACGGATACATACACTAGAGAATAGGCAGCATTGTTCTCTGAGTTAAATTATACCAGCATACTACGATCGTCAACCAACACCGCTGATAGTAGAGGTATTCAGTCCGTAAGCGTAGGTGCGCTAACATCTCGCTTATTTCTGCCGCGAAGCAGTTTTGTGTTCCAGTCTCAGAGGTAGGATAAACTATACGACGGAGATTGCTTGTTTTATGTTTGTTTTTAAAATGATGACGTTAGCGTCGCTGGCACTGTTCCCTTCATCTTTATCATTGCCTTCCATAGTAATAGTAATTAAGACTCACTTTTCCAATGAATTCCGCTTATCGTATTTTGAGTGTACAACTTGGTCTTTAATCATTAATAAGTTTGAAAAAAAGAACAGTACTTACTTGAAGAAATAACTTCCATTATTGTATCCAAAGAAAGGCACAGTATACGTCAGCATCCAGATGTTACCACCGCCGCAGTCGTAGTAGGGTTTCGACCATTTGCCGTCTTCATACGTCACCGAGAGGATCTCGTCTGGCTCTCTATCAGTATGAGCCGTGTCGTTGAAAGTATATGTGTTGTAACCTAGAAAAAGAAATGGTTTACTGTTACTACATAGAAAATGTTACGTTAGCAAATGGCTTGGCTCTGCCCCTGTCATTACAGATGTCCATGAGCGACAGTAATCACTCACCATCAAATGGGCCCTATGCCCATCTGCCTATAAGGGCAATAAGTAAAAAAGATCACCGGAGCCCATAGGCATGAACAACGTAAATGCCATCTTGAGACATGAGTTCTAAGTCTCCGTTTTTCAGTACAACAGCTACCCCACCCTTCAAGTCGAAACGAATTACTGCTTCACGGCAGAAATAAGCACCGCAGAAATATGTAAAATAAATAATGGAAAAGAAAAGAAATAAGCATAAGCATTGCGGGCTCACAAGATGACCTAACACCAGCAATAAGGCTTATCATACCATTTTTCATTTACTAATTAATGATAATAACTATGAATACCTCCTAATTAAGTTACAAACTGTATGAGAATTTACGGCTTGTCTATACTAATATTATAAAGAGGAAAGATTTGTTTGTTTGTTTGTTTCGAATAGGCTCCGAAACTACTGGACCGATTTGAAAAATTCTTTTTCCATTAGAAGCCGACATTGTCCCTGATGAACATAGGCTACTTTTAAAAAAAAAAAATTTTTTTTTGGTTTCATGTGTGTTTTAATGTTTCCGAAGCGAAGCGAGGGCGGGTCGCTTGTATGTTATAAAGGAAACGTAAAAATGGAAATCTATACCAAGAAATATGACACCTACAGACGACAACTTTGTATCGAATTACGGTATTTGGAAATCAATGCCAGGGCCGCCTCTGTCTAAAACTTACGCAGTTACGTCAGTTAGTAAAACTTTATTAATTAATATTAGTATTTTGACTAATTGTTTCTGATAGCTTCAGCCTAACGAAGGGTTTCAATATATAATTTAAATAATTGGTTAAATTAAATTTTCCACATTAAACGTCTAACTAGAGTTGTTCCTGTGTCGCGGAGACTGAAAATACAAAGATAACACAAAAATAATTACGACCAGACCACTAGTCAAACTCAGTGGTGAATACACTTAATCAAACATCCAGGCATTGAATTTTGCAGTACCAATAAAAAGGCATTCCAATCTAAACTAAGAAGCAGACGCAAAAGAGAAATTCAAATGAAAAACTGTTTCAATTTACTTGCAAGAACAGAACATGTCGAAGTAACTAGAAAAAACGTCGTAAAAACTAGAACTGGGAGACGAATAATAAAAAGTAGGAGAAACGAGAAAAATGAGCCATTACGGAAGTAGCTCCTGCGGTAATTTGATGAAAATTACCGTGGAATAAGACTTTAATTTATGACTACTTGACGTCGTAATTTACGTTCGGACTTTTGTGGTCGGTGAGATTAAAGAATTTGCAGGTAGATGGCAAAAATACACGAATCTTTCGCGACGAAACTGGGCATAACTTCGCAAGCACCCTTTGCGCTAAAGCAAATTCGGTTTTATATTTCGAGATAAATACCGAAATTTGTCATGTCTGGTAGTACCACAAAAATAATGTTCCCATTTCGAAAGCTAAATATTAGCTTCTGGAATTTGAAGTTCAATCATGAGTTAGTTTGAAGGGCCTTCTGTAACAATAATGGGAACAAAAAAAAAACCAGCCAGTTTCATAAATCAATTTGGCAGACTACAACTCGGATACAAAGTTTGTTCAACAGTCATGAGATCCTAGTTTAAGCGGTCGCTTTTATTGATTTGGGTCTCGTATAAATAGGATCGCACTGTACTTTATGGGTCCACCCAAGGATTTCGATATTTGCAAGTTTATTTTTTCTTTCAATTTCACATTTTAATCTAAGCGAAGCTATCATAGAAAAAAAGAATTCTGGCAAAAGCCTGAGTCAAGTTAAGGACATTTACAATATAAAATATACAAGTTCAATCATCAAATCAATGACATTATCACAACCACTTCATTGACTACTAGTTTAGTTCTTTTTCCAATTATTGTCCTGAAATTCTACTTAATAACTACAAAAACTTTTCGCGTTCATTGACCCTAACCTAGGAATTTCTTCTGGCTAATGGAAACACATGCGAGACAATAACAAATAGATCCAAGCACCGAATAATCTTAATAGTAATCCAATTTCCAGTATAATAGTCCGAGTCACTTATCACTCGATCAACTAGACGAATCTAACAATAGCCCACTAATTAATTGATTACAGACAATTAATGGCTGCACCACCGTAATTCCGTATACAAACTTCGGTAAACGACTTACAGAGCGAACGAAACTTAGCAGACAATACAAAGGGCCTATAAATAAGCGAACCTAGGCGCTTTTGTCAACATAAAGAAAAGCGGAGTTAATTGTCACAAGTTCGCATTGTTGTGACAACTTTATAAACAACATTGCTGTAACTTTATTGAAACAAAATCGTTGAGATGACACCGAAATGTTGAGGTTTGTGAATGGAGTTTTTCTCTAATTGTCCTTCCTTATGAAATTGGTATTGATATGTGTGAACTTTTATTCTAACACTACTTCAGTCTACAAAGCAAACAAGGTCATTAAGCCTAGTTAAATAATCACCGTATACACCAATAATTGTGTGTATCAGTTCTTTTGTTTCTAGTTAGGCAGTAAAAGTTTCTAAATCGCAAATTTTATTATTGTTATGAATTTAAAAGAAAATAGAAAATTATAAAATTACTTCCGGGTCTCTCGTAAAATATAATAAGTCATTTAGTCATTAACTTAGCTTACTAACTTAAATACTTTAGCAATTAACCTCACCTAGATCTTCTGATGGAAACTAATTTAAATTATATTTCAGTGCAACCTTTTTTTATTTCCCGTGTAGGCAGACGAGGATACGACCTATCTAATGGTGAGTGGTTACCGTCACTATGGACTTCAGCAATGCCAGGGGCAGAGCCAGGCCTATGCCTACTTGACTACGATAAATCGCTATTTATAATGATGATTGCTTCGAATTATTCCTTAAGATATTGCTTGATCACCTTTAGATAATTATTTCTTGTAATATCAACGTTAAAATTATATAACTTACAATTTAAAAACCCGTCCTCGATCACAGGCAACACATTAAACGAGTAAATACGGCCGCACAGAGCGTAAATTAAGGGTTTAAAAAAATTATGTAAAGACAACTGTACTCACCTCGGCGAAACTGATTATGATTTCTTATAACACGTTCAGCGTTCTTCCTAGCTATGTAAAACCATTCTGACGTATTACTCAAATATTTGTATTCGACAGCTAAATCTTTGGCCAATATTGGTCCCTCTGGTAGACGATACGCAAACGGGCAAAATAATTGGTAATCCTTATACTGGTATTGGTCGTAACAATTGCCAGCTGCAAAAATATCGTCGTCAAACTCCACCATCGAAAAGACACTAGCGTGGAGGAGATATTCATTGTACATAACCGATGATCCAGCATATTTCCATAGTCTAGTTAACATATTAGCTCTATTGACAGCAACATCTGCTTCTACTCTAAATCTTTCTTGAGCATATCTATCTACCACTCCTTCTCCCAGATTCAAATGTGTACCAGCTGTACAATTCTCACCTAGTAAGTGCTGTGATTCTATAAGCCGAAGGAATTTCGTTACAACATCTTCGTGAACGTTCCTAACAATTGTAGCATTCTCAAACTTATCTGTGCTATTTTCTTTATCAAGAACTTCTAAATTTTCATCCATTGTTATTCTCTGGGTTTCGTTATTATCGTAACTATGCTCTACATTCATGAAATGATCGGCTAAAGACACTTCAGTTGTCCTTTCGGGTTTTTGTTCGTGCGCCGATGAAAAGTTTCCGAAATATTTTTGAAATGAGTCGAAGTTTGTTTTGGAAGCCCGGTCTATTTCTGGGATTTCGTGAGGTCTTAGCGCTGATGCGATTGGCTCGGAGATTTCAATGTTATCTGGAACAAATAAAAACAATTTCATTATTATTATTTTTAATGGCATAGTGAGTGGGCGTACTGGCCATCTGGTGTCTGGTGGTTACCGAAGGCCATAGACATTATAACGATTTGGGTACTGTCACCCACCTTCAAACTTGAGTTATACTTGTTATATTTTAATTGCGCAAAATGTATATTATTTTGCGAGTTATATTTGTTATTGTCCAACGTTCTTATTTCATCGACTAAGTCAATTATGAAAACGACTTCAATACGTATTCCATTAGAAAATCCTGTCTATTGCATCCTGTCATTTCGTATCGACATTTCAGCGTCGCTTGATAATGGGTACACCAGGCACCTTATCCTTGAAGCTACTATGAAAATTTAAATCCGTCATTTTGTTAACTTACTTTGAATAATTATTGTTTGGATAAATTTTTTGCTTAAATACTATTAGTATCAACAGTGGCACGAATGAAAGAATAGAATAGTTATCAAACTCTAAAGTTGAGGTTTTTATTTTGTACTTGAAGGTCACCCTCAAAGTTAATAGTATAAAGACAATCATTTTCGTGCTGTAAATACGTATTTCATGCTATAAGAGGGCAAAATTGTATCCAATTCAGAATAATAGACGGATGTGTGCTACAATGCTATATTGCACAATAGGGATGATTTGCATGAAAACGCAACCACTACTCGCCTTCTTGCTCCTTTTGAACTCTGTATTGGTTGCTCCAATAGTAAAGCGGTGTGATCGTTCGTGTTCAACGCTCTCTTCTAAATACTAATTCCCAAAGTAATGATCCAGCTATACGAAAAACCCCCACAGAAAAAACAGCTAGCCAGATCATTAAAAAATAAAATTCGAGAAACGTAACTGGTTTGCAGTAGAAATTTAATGTAAATGGATTTGGGTTAGGCTCAAAGCCCCGAAAACCATAATCGTTACGAAGCCGCCTATGCATATAGGTTTTTGTATTTAATACTGAACGGCTTGCAGATAAACCCTCGCGGATGTGGACCCGCAGTCGTAATCGTAACGCTACAGAACTGACTAGCGGATCAGAGGTCCTGTTTTCCTTTAATTATGGTTTCGGTCTTCAGTCTTCGGTCAGTTTTGTGTTTTGATCGTTAAGCAGAACAAAAGCAATCGATTTACAATTCCTTTTCTATATACGGTGTCAATTTACAGTAGTCTTCCGTGGATGGGTATACGATATTTTTATGCCAATCGTAAAATTATTACATTCGTAACAGGCTACACTGCATACGGGTCTTGGAAATTACACTATGGCCTTTTCCAAGGTCAACCATATTGTTGATACATGTTTTGGTTTATTTTCTTAAAAAAACAAAAGGTCTACTAATATTTATAATCTACTAAAATAGGAATTCGTAAATTGCCCAACTCCCTCAGTTACTTACGGTCTCTATCACAACAAACAGCAATCATTTTTGTCAAAACTTATACCTACGCAGTGACGAACTTACACATTCATCTCAGAAAAAATAATTTAAAACTAAGATGCTTGTAATTTCTTGTAACTTTAAGCCGGTTAAAATTTATATGTTCAGTGCATATTTTTCCTAAAGTACAGTTAGTTTAGTACAGCATATATTATATCATGTAATATGTGCGGTTTAAGTAACATAAATAATAAATTGAAGTTAATTAATAAATTGATGTCAATATTGCACTTTAATTAGTTATTTCATCTGATCTACAATCCATTATTTTAACCGTCTTTTCTGTCTGACACTCATAGAAAACAGAAACTAATATTTCGTGATAAGGTTAAGAAAAAAAATAAAATAATACATTCCGCACGGTACGTATACAATTTTTTAGTGGCGTAGGCGGTTATCCGCAATTGCGATTAGCGTTCAAACAAGATCGCCTACGGAAAGAAGTCTACGCCGTAGACACTTGATATGAGATCAAAAGCTCAATTATCTATATATTAATACGTGAAGCAAAAACTTTGTATCCCTTTTTACGAAAATTGCGCGGACGGAGGAGTATGAAATTTTCCACACTTATAGAGAATATAGAGAAGAAGTGCACAGTGCTAATATTTTTTTTAAATAATGCATAAAATATACATTAAATCAATAAAGAAAACATTATACACACTACATACCATGTATTTGACGCACACACGCATGCATACTATTTATTGTCAAACTTTTGTTCTTGACGTCTGTTGTCAAATTGAGAATAGATTAAATATTGTTTGTCTTTGTTAATATTTTTTATAGTGTAGTCTTGGCGAAATTTGTGAATATAGAATTATAAAATACAATTATAATAGTATACCAACTTACAATTACAATTAATTATAGTCGAAATTCGACTACTGCGGGACCTCTAGTAATGTAAAATCTATGACTCGACTAATCGAAAAATATATATCATGAATGTACATGGAAATGTAAGGTTTAGAATGATATTAATTTATAGGTACTATTTATTAATTTGTTCTTAATTGAGAAAATCGTTATTTATTCTTAACTAGCTGGCCCGGCAGACTTCGTAGTGTAAAATAAACTTAAAACAAACAAAAGGAATCTGTCCGACGAGACGGGACACATCAAAGGGAAAACAAAATTGTTATTTTTATTTAACTCCGAGCATTTTCATATTTATGTACATTTCAAACCTTCTCTGGACTTCCACAAATAATTCAAGACCAAAATTAGCCAAATCGGTCTAGCCGTTCTCGAGTTTTAGCGAGACTAACGACCACCAAATTTTTTTTTTGTAGCTTTGATGGGTTACGCATTTATAGCATAGATGTCTATGGGCTCCAGTACAGGTGGGCTGTGAGCTCGTCCACCCATCTAAGCAATAAAAAAAGGGGAAATAAAACAACAAAAAAAGTTCTTTAAAACTATACATACTTGATTTCAGTATTCTAATGTGTTAGGCAAATCTACACTAATTTGAACACTCTGAAGCGTTCATGTTTGTCTATGCGTGAAACAATATAAGCAGTAGTTATGTAGCGATAATCAGCCTATTACACAATAGCGCTTTGTAACTAGATAACATTCATAATATTATCACTGCTTAATTTTGGTAATTAGGATTAGATAACAATAATGTTCAATGATGAACATTGTTCACTGTATTCTATACCACGAAATATTATAGTATAAGATAAATACTCCATATCTGTAATACAAGCTCAACAAGGTAGCACTGTCTTTTCTTTTTAAAAAGCCTTTTTCTCTATCCCGCATCATAGCTCAGTGCTTCTGTTTTTTTTTTTGGAATTGTGGTCATTCAGTAAATTAAATTACAACATCGACATTATTTTCTTTACATTCATTTGGATGAAATTCATAAAAAAATATCATGATGGTCAGTTTAGAAAGGGTCTGTTTTAACCTAGCTATTACTTTCTAATTTCGCATTGAAAGCTTGGCCCTTAAATCAGAATGGCTTACAGTAAAAATGGTCAGGTTGTAAATGGCTCCAGTAACCACTTAATACCAAGTGGGCTATGAGCTCGTCCACCCATCTAAGCAATAAAAAAAAAAACTTTCCAGAAACTAAACAAGAAACTATGTTCTTTCATAGTATAAAAGAGATTGCTTTCAATAAATTATGGGACTATCAATTTGCGCCTCCGTCTTGTAATGAAAGTTGCGATTTGTTTTGCTCATAAACGCAATCCAACTTTATAGGGGGATATTGTAGACTTACAGTGTTCGATCCAGTTCAAGCGAAAACGGCCTTTACACGCAGCCCATTTGCTGTCCATAAAGCGAAAGGAAACAGATTTTAAATAAAGCCGAATTTCGTTTGAAACATTTCGAGGCCAGGTAGTGACTAAATGGTGTAGTTATTTTGATGAAATTGCCGCGTTTCAAAGGATTTTGTTTAATGTATTCTAAGAATTATTTTATTGAATCTGTCAGATTGAAGATGTTTCGGAGGAATCATTGAATATCGTTATTGAATTTTTACGGATACGTAAACAAAAATAAACATTCTTGAAATGGAAAGAGAGTTTTTTATGAAAATAAGATAATGTAAATTGATATGGACTTTCGCTAGTATTTTTTTACTGGACTTTTACTGGTGGTAGGACCTCTTGTGAGTCCGCACGGGTAGGTACCACCGCCCCGCCTATTTCTGCCGTGAAGCAGTAATGCATTTCGGTTTGAAGGGTGGGGCAGCCGTTGTAACTATACTGAGACTTTAGAACTTGTATCTCAAGGTGGGTGGCGCATTTACGTTGTAGATGTCCATGGGCTCCAGTAACCACTTAACATCAGGTGGGCTGTGAGCTCGTCCACCCATCCAAGCAATAAAAAAAAATGTAAATTGATATGGACTTTCGCTAGTATGTTATCTTAGCGTACTCCATTATTTTCTTATCCAATAGCGTTGCTACCTACATCGCCAGAGAGATAAGACGAGATAGACATACAATTCAGAAGTTAGAAACTAACATTAGCTTACTTAATATATTTGTTTTATACCGCAAAGCAACGGTGATTTCCGATTCCAAAGTATTATTCATATGGAGCTAAAATTTTCACTTAATATATCGAAAGGGGGGGGTCCGGAAATTTGTTAATAATAATAATAATAATATTTTTATTGCAAGTAACCATGACTCATATAAATTATTAATAAGACTTAGACCTATGTTAGTAGTTATATTTACATCACAATGAATTACTGTGGTAACATCCCATGGGAGATGGCACCACAGCGACCCATGTATACACAGTCCAGCCTGCTTGCGATCATGCTCAGGATACTGTTGGAGCTGGCCCTCACTCTGCTTACCAGAGATGCACACCTCTTACGCATGGTAGCGTAAAAACAATCTATGTGCGCGTCTGCAAACATCCCTGATGCGCTACAAAAGCGGGGCAGCACCACCAGCACCCTAAACGCGTTATTGTATTGAACAATAACGCGTTTAGGGTGTTAAATAATCTACAAAAAATATATACTATCGAATATCATGCACTAAACGTTTCTATGAGAGAAA